TCACCTCCTCCCTCCCCCACCACGTGGTTGTATAATTAATATCCTTGTATCTGGCTCCTTGGAAATCTACGTAAGAATTCACAGGTGGAATGGCTGAAGCCACAGCACTTATTATCTCTTCTGAGTAAAATGGCTGAACCACCTACTCTAGCAGTTTATAAGGATTTCTACTTCGTGAGCCCCACTGATTATCTAGTTTTCTGATCGTTGTCAGCCCCGTAGGTGCCCACCAATAATATCACTGTTACTTTAATTTTTATTTTGATTTCTCTTCAAATACCAGTTACCCAAACACTGGTCCTCAGTGTCCTGTCTTTCACATCCTTTGCCCACTTTTCTAATGGAATTTCTCTATTTTTCCTTTTTGGTTTTCAAGGGTTTCTTGATTAATCTTGATATTAACCCTTGGCTTTAGACATTGCAAATGCCTTCTCTTACACTGTCGTCGATCTCTCTGCTTTAGTCAGGGTGACCTGTGTGGACTAGAAATCCTTAATTTTGATGTAATCGATCTTTTCAGAATTTTAGTATATGGTCTTGCTTTTGAGGTTTCATTTGAAAAACTTTTCCTGCTAACTTTCTGATCACCAATTCTAATTGGGGAGAGCAGGGGGTTTCCTACACACCCAAGTGATTCTCTGGCATCAGCTGAATGTCACACTACGCAATTCAATTTTGACCCCACTCACTTGGAGGTAACATCAGATCCCACCATTTAAGGGCTCAGTCCCACAAGACTGCTCCCCACTTGAAGTGCCAGTCACAAGTTCATGCTGTCACCTGTGCTTCTGACTGACTGGCTATAGATTGGAGGTTCCAATGACCCCCTTCCTTGGGTTCAATTAATTTGCTAGAGTGGCTTGCAGAACTCAGAAGAATATTTCACTCACTAGGTCACTGGTTATTATAAAAGGGTATAATTAGGAATAGCCAGCTGGAAAAGTTGGAAAGAGCAAGGTATGGGAAAAGAGTGTGGAGCTCTCAAGCACTCTCTGTACACTCCACTCTCTCCACACCTCCATCAGCCCGGAAGTTCTCGGAACCCCGTCCTTTGGGGCTTTGTGGAGGCTTTGCTCCATAGACATGATTGATTAAATCATTGGCCATTGGTGATTGGACTCAGTCTACAGCCTTTCTCCCCTCCCTGGAGGTTGGGATATGGGGCTAAAAGTTCTAAGCCTAAAAGTCAGCTCTCCTAGCAACCAGCCCCCATCTTTAGGTTACCTAGGTGCTTGTCAAATTTATTTCATTAATATCACAACAGGCACAGTTTTTGCTCTCATGACTTAGGAAATTCCAATGGCTTTTAGGAACTTTGTGCCAGAAGTGGGACAAAGACTATTTATTTACGAGCATAAATCACAATATCATACCTGCTCCAGGTAACAAAGACATTCTTTCATATTTTCTTCTATTAACTTGGTTTTTTTTTTCCTTAGAGATTTAATTACTTAATTAAGTCTATTCAAAGTTTACCTTTATTTGAGATATTTAGGAAGAATTTAGCTGAATTTTTCCCCAAGTTTTTCTAATACCATGTTAATTGGTTGTGTAGTTGTGATGGTCAACTTGATGTGTCAGCTTGCCTGGGCATGGTAAGGTACCCAGATGTGTGGTCATACATTGCTCTGGATGGCTTTGTGAGAGTATTTTTGGTTGAAATTACCATTTAAATCGGTAGACTTGAATAAAGCAGTTTGCTCTCCATAATGTGGGTGGGTCTCGTCCAATCAGTTAAAGGGCTGAGAAGAACAGAAGATGGACCTCCTCTGAGCAAGAGGAAATTCTGGGGCAGCTTGCCTTCAGACTTAAACTGCAGCATCAGCAACACTTCTATGGCTATCCAGTTTCCTGGCTCACCCTCTAGACTTTGGATCTGCCAGCCTTCATAATCATGTGTTACTACTTTGTTACAATTAACACTTGTTTAGTGAAGGTTCAGGGAGCTGGATGGTGAGTCATAGTTCAGTAAAAGAGCACAGAAGAAATTGAAATAGAGAATTTTATTACTCACAGGTGCTGGAGGAAGTACACAGCATTCTTCGAAATTCCACATGGGAAAGGCAAGGGAGGGAGCAGGTAGAGAAAGTGACAGGATCTAGGGCACATGCCTTTATCAGGATCTGCGGGTAGAGTGCTTTGGGGTTCTCAGATTAAGGAAAGATTGATAAGTTCAAATTTAAGAAAATCAGGGTTTTGGCAAGCTCCATGGGGATTCTATCCAAAGGGAAGGTCCAGGGTGTATGGGAGACTATTTGCTACAAGGACATTTGTGGAAGTCACATCAATAACCTACACTTACCTGTGACCCTGCGGGCTGTTATCGAGGGCATGGGCTTGCCTGAAGGACAAGAGATGGGTTAAGGCCCCCAGTGGCTGCTTGGCCACATAAGATGAATGCCAAGGCAGCAGTACCATGGAGAAGTTTAGATAAACTATAAACATTCTGAGAGCCAATTCCTTAAAATAAATCTATAGACACACATATCCTACTGGTTCTGTCTCTCCAGAGAACCCAGACTTATGCTGTAGTTTTAGCTTTAAACATAATTTATGGAAGACCATACATTCAGGGCTCTGGCCTTAAGCTCTGTATCTTGATCGTTGGTCTGATAGAACGATAGTATTAACCCTCCTTTTATAAAACTAAGTCTGTGACTTCTGTCATAACAACTGGTAGGACAAATTCCACACCATGTCTCCTTTTTGGATTGTTTAACAATTTATAGAACTTCACTCCTCCGTGTACATTTTAGGATAAGTTTATCAAGTTTCTTTTTGAAAATCTAAATGTAATTTTGATTAGGGTTGTACCAAAATTATGGGTAAATTCGTTGCAACCGAGAGCACGAATATCTCTCCATTTCTTTGATTAGCATATTTATTTTTTAATCTTCCTTGTTTCCAAGTGAATTTATTTCAGAGTACTGCCATGCTGTCACACAGTTTTAAAAACCAACTTTTTTGAGATGTAATTTAAATTAAATAAAAGGTAGTCATTTTAAGTGGACAGTTCGTTGTTTAAACTTACGCATCCATCCCACTGAGTGACCATCCACAGTCACATCACCACTACCTTCCAAAATGTTCCCTCGTGCCCTTGCCAGTCAGTCTTTTCTGACTCTTCACCAAAGCAACCACTGATCTACAAATCAGTTTTGTATATAGATGGAAACATACAGAAGGTACTATTTTATGCCTGGTGTCTTCCACTCAGTATAATGTCTTTGAGGTCCATCCCTGGACCATTAGCAGGTCCATCCTCTTGAGTGAATCAATTCTTCATTCTTTGTTATTCCTGTTAGTCCACTCTACAGATATACCACAATTTGTTTAGCTGTTCATCTGTCAATGAGCATTCGACTTGTTTCCAACTTGAGGTTAATACAGAGAAGTCTTCTGTGAACTTTTGAGTATGAGTATTTGTGATGTCCCACAAATTTTGAACTATAGTATTCTCATATTGTTCATTAGTAAATACTTCCCAATTTTCCTTGTGATTTGCACCTTGACTTGAGAGTTATATAATTGTGTTACTTAGCTTCCAAATACATGAGTTTTAAGATTTCCTTTTGTTATTTTCTAACATTTCCAACTCCTACCTATTCTGGGATCAGTTTTTATAACTTGTTATCCTAGAAAAAGTATCCCTTACAACCAAGGTCACACATTTATTTTTATGAAGGGATGCAGTCCATTCCATGAATGTCTTTTAATCCCCTTTTTTCCCTATGGTTCTTTCCTTTTCTTTTCTTTCTTTTTTTAAAGTTTGTTTGTTTGTTTGTTTGTTTACATAATCTCTACATCCAATGTGGGGCTCAAACTCACAACCCTGAGATCAAGAGTCCCGTGTTCCTTGGACTGAGCCAACCAGGCACCCCTCTTTGATTTGTGTCTTCTTTCTTCACTTATTTGGATGAGCTGATAGTTTTGCTTTGCATTGCTCCTTTAAAACAAAACAAAACAAAACAAAAAACAGATTGGGAGGGTTGACTCTCTCTTTATTTTCTCAATTAATTTATATTTTCCTCTTTCATACTTTCTCCTTCTTTCCTTTGGTTTATTCTTTCTTGTTAGTTTATTTTCATTTTTTTTATTACATATAAAGAGAATAGAGTAGAATTTATAGTTTTATAACACAAATTCTGTTAGGTAATATTTTCATTTTCATTATTTCCTAAACGTTCCATAATTTTGGTTTTGGATTCCTGTCTGATCCAAGAGCTACCTAAGAAACATTAAAAAAAAAAAAATTCCAAGTGAGTAGAGCTTTTGTTGTTGTTTGTTTTCTTCTAATTTTTTTCCATAATAATCAGGAGATGATTTTCGTATAGACTGGACTTTGCTTAGTTTCTTTGTGTCCTAATATATGGTCTTTTTTAATGAATGTTCCATGGACACTTAGGGAAAAAGGTATGCTCTGTGTTCATCGAACAGTGTATGAGATATAGCAGTTGGATTTCCATTGTTAATTTTTTGTGTAGGCCTTTTACCGCTTTTACGAATTTTTATTCCCTTGACCTGCCATGGACTAGGAGAATGCAAGCAAGTCTCTTCCTAGAAAGTATATTTGCCCGTATCTTATTGTATTGAATATATTTTCTTTATGCGCGTTGATATTACATTCTTAGGCTTATGTATATTCAAAACTGTTAGAACCTTGCTCTGAGTTATACTCTTTATCATACTAAACTGTGATATATGACCGGAAGGGAACCAGTAGATCAGAATTATTATAGTTCTATTTCCTCCCCACCATTCTTTCCTCCACTATCAATTTTAGTTCCAAATATTTATTTTTACACTTTGAATATACTTTTACTTCTACCATTTGGTGTATCAGCTATAAATTATGTTTTCTCTATCTGAGAGATCAGGAAATCAGTTCACCTAGGCAACCTCTGCTACGTCACACTATTATGATCACATTAACATCATCAGGATTTATAACACTTACATTCCATCCCATAACAACACATCGGTATGGATCTAAATGGAGTCATAGTGACTGCCAGGCCTTTTGCTGTGCTTTTGATTCTGGTTGCCAGGTCTCCACCAACAGGTCGTAGGCTCAGAAGAGAGAAGGCCTTTGTCCCTGTCCTGTGAGGACCACAGCGTACAGCTCCAGTGCCAGGAAGACTGAGAGGAATGCAGACGGTTTGGAGGCTGGGAATCTGGGTTTGGAGCCACAGGGGGGGCTTGGCCCAAGGCACCGAGTTCATGAGCCTGTGAAGGCTGCAGTGCCCAGCAGCAGAAAGAGGGCAAAGTAGAGCAAGCGGGAAGGACTCGGCTACAAACACAGCTGATGTGTCCCTGAAAACTCAAGGATAATCGGGTCAGAGATTTCGCAGGGAACGGAACGTAAGTTCTACGGAGGAGATGGGGACACTGAATCCTGAAAATCTGGGTTTCAGTGGCAACGTGGTCACATGTGACCCTCAGGCCAGATAGGCCTGGGAACATTTAGACTACATCGAATTTCAGATGTGACTCAGGAGGAAAATACATTTTTGTGTGTGTGTGGGTAAATAGTGAGGTTTGCTTAAACAGAAATGTGAGATAATAGCTGTTTATTTGAAGCTCTTACCCTAACAGATACAGATGTGTGCTTTTGTCTTTAAATAATAATCAGAGTTAGGACTGGAGACAAGAAGAAAATACTCCCTATTACAACTGCTAGCTTTCTCTGTATTGAATTTAAAATCGTCTTGTTGTTGCCTTTCTGCCCTCAACCACGATGCGTGCGTGCGTGCGAGCACACGTAGCCCTCTGGGTTTTGACTTCAACACGCCTGGGGTTTCACATCCCACCTCCAACTGTCCAAATACCCCTGCCCCCGCCCTCCCCTGAGCCGTCAGGGGCACAGGTCCAGAAAAACCAAATCACCTTGTCACAAGGCTTTCCTGTTCCCTCTTCCAGAGGCCACTTCTTCCTCCTTTGAATTCCCATGATCTTTTATCTGTGCCTCTCATGGAGCTTATCTCTTTCTGGCTTGTATTATAGTTGTTTACGTGTATTAGACATCATGGTCAAGAGGAAAGAGCTTCTGGCTGTAGAGTCAGACCTGTCTGAGGACAGATCCCAGGTCCATCCCTCACTAGGTGGGTGGCCTTGGGAAAATACCAACTTTTGGAAGCCTCCTTTTGGGGTGGGGCGGGAGTGGGGGGCGGTGTGCAAAACATAAAAATAATATTCTCTCTCAGAATTGTTTTGAAGATTGGAGATAGCATACGCAAAACACAAGACTTGGTAAAATACCAAGAGAAGTCAAACGCTATTATTATTATCGTTATTTGTGACGTTATTTTGGTTAATTCTTACATCCCCTACTAAAGTATTTATTTATCCATTTATACAACAGATATTTATTGAAGTCAAAGTCTGTGTCAGGCACTGGGGGCCGGCGTGGAACAAAAGACAGAGGGATTGCGGGATAAAGGCAGAAGGTAAACAAGCAAACTAAGAAATACAGAGATAATTTGAGATGACAATTGCACTGTGAAGAAACTCGAAATATCCCGCGGAGGGCAAGAGAGGCAGGGGAGGGAGCGAAGGCCAGTTCTGGGAAGGGAGCTTGGACAGAGCGGTCTCCTGGTGGATGAGAGGGAAGCACCTACGGGAAGTTCTGAAGCCAGGGCATTTCAGAGGAGGGGGCAAGGCTGCGAAGGGTCTGGGTGGGGAATGAGCTGACAGCAGAAGGAGTGAAGGAGAGTATGATAGGAATCAGACAGGAGAGACAGGCAGGGACCTGTCCCTCAGAGTCCTGCTGGCCCTGGTCAAGAGCACGGGTTTGATTCTCTGTGTGAGTGGGAACCTCCAGGAAAGACACAGTGCACTGGTTTGTATTCAGTGTTTTATCTGCCATTGTGTTTGCCTCCTGGAGAGCTGTTAGCCAGCAGCTGGGCCCACAGATTTTTGAGAAAGTAGAGAGGAAGGGAAAAGAGGAAGCCAGGAAGAGAGAGAGAGAGAGAGAGAAAGGGAGAGCCCGAGGTGGGGGGGGGGGGTGAGGGGAGAGAAGATCCTAGTAGACACCCACACAGATGAATCTGATGGTTTTCCCCCTTGTTGGGCTTCAAGGACAGACTGAGGCTGGCCTTGGTGGGTGGAGAAAAACCTCCATCCTCCTGTGAACATTTGGTGTCACACTGGTCTCTTTCCTGGGGTGGTCCCAGATGGCGGTGGGGGCTGGGGACCTGGGAGGTCTTCGAGAAGAACAGTGTCCTGGCTGCCTCTGGCTTTCAGGTCACAGATAACAACTGTCAGATGGTCTCACTGTGAAGCAATAAGCTTCCCCAAAACAAAGAGGCGGGCCAAGCTCCAGAAAAGCTGCAGTCTGGACAAAACACACAAGCCTGGAAAAAATTAAAAGTTCATGAGCGACTGAACAAAGCACCTCGGGGAAATGCAAGGGGTTAAACGTAAGCAAGTACACGATGTTCCCGAGCCCCAGAAAGCAAGGCAGAAAAACAATCACACATCCTTGATGAGGGGGGAAAGGAAAGCAGGAGAGAGACAAGTCAGTGTTCCCCTGTGAGAACTAAAAATAATGCCATGTGAGGTTGGCCCAGCCCTAAAATGGAGGGAAAGAGAAATAAAAGGCAGGAGAAGGGATGAAACAGGATGAGAGGACATTGTCCAGAGACAGGGCCTGCACAGCCCCCCCCCCCCCAGCTCTTTTGTCTTGGGCAGAAGGCTCTCTCCACAACATGGGATGCCTGAATGTCCCCTAGTGGGGCTCCCTGGACACCCTCCTCTCTAAGAGCTCTGTGGCAGGGAGAACCTATTTTATCAATGCAGCAGAAACAACAGCTTCCTCTTCAGTATTTTTTCTTCATGAAGTTTGATCTTATATATGGAAAGAGTTGGACTCAAGCCCAGCCAACCCTGGGGGCCCGATGGTGCAGGGGACATTTGCTAATAGACAAACATCCCCAAAATGGTGCTTCAGTGAGACCGGAATAGCTGTATTGAGATGAGCAGGGAGTGTGAGAGGGTGAGACCCGGGGACCCTACAGGAATCCAACGGAAAGGTGATAGTGCCTGGATGGGAGGCGAATGCCCCTTCCCGGCTCCTATCTTGAGGAGAGTAACACAGTAGCTAGAATGAAAGGGAGGGCTGGCTGACGTGTTTGTTGTTCTTAATGCCCAGTTTCCTCATGTGTGCCAGTCTTGCACTCAAAAAGCTGCACGAGTGCATTTCTGAGAAGCCACACAGAGATCACAAAATTCCACCTGAGGCTTTGTCATCAACTTTCCCTGGAGCACGGGACCTTTTTTTTTTTTTTTTTTTGGCCAGAAATACAGAATAAAGACCAGAAAAGGTAGGCTTCTTGTGTCTAAGGCTTTTTAAACATTACATATATAAAACGATATACCAATGATAGACCAGGGTATGGCGGGAGTCTCTTTAATGAGTACCAAAACCTTTTCAGAGTAAATAACATCATCCCCACGTTATATATGGTAGAACACAGGTCCGAGAAGCTACGCAATTTTCCCGTGGTCTCTTAGTAAACAGGATTTCCTGGTTGGCCTAGAACTGTCTAATTCCAACACTTTCCAACCCTTTCCTAGAATAAAAACTTATCTCTCCATGACCACAAAAGGAAAAATTAAATGGTGCATTTCAACTGCGTGGTCATCTTTGTTGAAAATCTTTGAGCATTGGTGAAGTTTTCATTGGGGACTCAACATTTGTATGGAGCATACACAGTGGGCATCATCTTCTTACTTGGAGTACTATGGTGTGGTTTCCTCTTTTGAGTTTGTAATTTCCAGAGAGAAATGCTTTTTTTTTCAATTTTTGGCTGAGGGTTTCTTTGTGTCATGAAGATCAGCTCCTTTGCTGGGGCACGGAAGAGTAAAAATAGATTTCCCGTTAGTAGCAACAAGTAGGAGTTGTTTGTCTGCCAGAAGGAAATTCTTTCATTCTTTTCCTGCTTCGGTTCTTTTTGTGCCAACAACTAAGCAAGGTTCATCACTGAGTGAGCCAGAGCCAACCTCACGGATGGGTGGTGTAGGTGGTCCCCTACCAAAATGACCTCAGGGATGTGAAGACAAGGGCGTTGAACCCAGGAGAGACTTGAGAGCACCAGCCAGGCAAGAACCGCCGACTCCCCAAAAACAAAAGAGAGAAAAAGTTTAGCTTTGATGGATTTACCCAGAATTGGAATGATTCCGAAAATCTAGAAATTGAGGTTATTGTTAATTTAGCAAACATGCAAGTATTATGTCATTGTCGAAGTAAAATTTTATTTTAATTACATGTAGAAGAAAGGGATCGCCTCATCATAATCCTTTCCAAGGCTCAGTGCCTATAAAGTATTTAATCTGCTTTAAACCCCTTATTAAACCCCACATGGGTACCTAAAATCCCACCATTAGCAATTACTTTCTGTTTGCCAAAGTGTTCTCTTCCTTCTGGGTATGTTTTCTTTTTTGAGCCAAATACCCTGGGAGCTAATACATTCATTTTATATACCTCTGGAAAAAATAGTTTATCAGATGTGTTTTCTCCACTCCAGAAAGACCCTGGGCCCCACAAAAATATTTGGTGAAGGGGTTACCCCACTTCAACCAATGTGTAGAATTGAGGAGAGAAAACTCTAGAGACAAACTTTTCTGACAGAGGATTTTTGCCCTAGGGCAGTCCCTAATTCTATACCATTTGCCAGGGCATTATAAATATTGTAAAATTCTGTGATTCCAAGAAACTATCTCTCTGCTCTGAATCTTTGTTGAATCCACTAGAAATCACAGTCCCTTCTTCCTGGGGGGGGTGGGGAATGACCACTGCCAACCCTGTGAAAAACATCACATCAGATTTTTGCGTTGACAAGTTTCTGATCCCCAGGTTACAATTAAGTAAACCTCATATTTTATAAACAAAGAAGTGGAGGGCTGTACAGAAGCGCTTTGCACACAGTCACACAGGTAGTGGCAAGGCAAAGACAAGAAGTGTAGTCACACAGCCATTAAAAGAACCCCCTCCCCGCCCCCGCCATCAGATTCCCATCTGTCAAACATCTCAGCAAACAGGAATATTAGGGATACTCTATTCAGGGAGAAGTTTGTTTAGCTCAGCCAAACTCATTTTATTTTTCAACAGATGAAGTAAACCAGATTCCGAAGTCTCCACTTTTGTTCACATTATGGGGCATGGGTGCCTGCTAACTGAGATAGTTGGTGTGCGGTGGGGAAGAGAGAGGGATGTAAACTTAAATGAACAATTCAAATTTAAACCAGAAACATGCCACTAATAAAAAAAAAATAAGTTGGCTGTTTTAGACGCCTAACATTTCCTTCCTGAATTGGGGGGGCAGGGCTGTGTGTGTGTGCACATGCACACGTGTGTGGGGTGGTGTGCATATGTGTGTGCATTTTGCTGCCATCTTCTGTGACAAGCAAATTAGAAGCTGCATTTAACCTGGTGAGGAAAATCACTTAATTTAAAATGGAGTTTTAAAAGAGACAGCCAAGGTAACACTTTCATCCTGACTTAACCAGAAACCCTCCAAAGCACTAGAGAAAGTTAGACTTGGGGGTAGGGGACTCAGGGAGGGAGTACAGGTTGTGTCTGGAGTATTGAACTGTAAAATCAAGAACTTTCCACATGGCATTTTCTGACAACCTAGGGTCATAAATGTAAACCAGGATTTCAAAGAACATGGATTTTTTTGTTATTTTCCATGTCTTTCCATTACTAAACTTTAAAAACAAAGCTCTGGGCTTCACTGGAATGGAGTGGGGCTTCCAGATCTGTACTTACTCACTGAGTGACCTTAGACAAGTTCTTCTTCAGGCCTTTGATTTTTTTTTTCACTCTCTAAAATAGTGTTTTATATAATATCTACAAAGCTTTGGGACGAAAGGTTATGCAGGAACATGAGCTGATCCATGACCAGACATAGGCATGTAGCAAAATGCTCAGTAAAGTTGAGTTCGGTGGTAGGGAGGGTTCCAGGAGAAGTTGTGAACTCATGGGACCCTAGTTTCTTGACCTGAGTATAAGCAGCTGCACCAGATGACAGATAAAGGACTCCATCCAGCAGTTACCCACTGTGATTCTAGGATGTTTTCTGGTCTCTTTGAAAGTCATGATTTCTCAAATCCATGCATCAGCTTCACACACTGGGTCCCTGGAAGAACCCCCCCAAAACTCACCAGCAGAGGAGGGTATTAAGGAATCCATTTAGTCAATCTGCTATAAATTCAATTTTAAAATAAAGTTGTAGTCAGTGAGGGTGGCACTAAAATACAATTTCCTTATGCGTAAAACAAGTGGTCCAAATCTGAGATTGCTTGCAGTGCAAGCTCCAAAGAGGCAAGAACTGTGTCATTATGAGGGTATCTCTCACACACAGTATAGAATAGTTACTCAATAATATTGTGGGTGTGATGGATGAATAAAATATTGATACTCTATAATAACCAAAAAAATACCCAAGGAATTGCCTTCCTAGCTAATGACTCAATTTATGACAATGGCTCTTCTTTTTCTTTTTTAATCCAGTAATCCTGAAACCTCTTATCTTTGTCTTATAATTTACCAGGTATTATCTTCCTGACTGGAATTCATGCCCTTGGCTCTGATTTCCAGTTTAGGCACAACAGTTGATGACAAGTTAGAAAAGGAGACTGGAAAAGGATGCCTGTTTTTTGTCTCTCTGATTGGTTGAGGATACCACAAACTTCTTTGAACTCCTTTTGGAATTTCTTGAGGAAACCCAAACCTTCTTTAATTGGTTTCTTCACCCCTCCCCCCACCTTTTGGCTATTAACCTAGAAGTACAAAAAACAAAACAAAACAAAGTATTATCCTAAATGTACTCTAATTCAACTCTGCTTGCCTAACTATGAAAGTATTTCAGTGTTTGTAAATGAAATTTAAAGAAGTCCTTTGGGTACCTCAGTGAGCAACTATACAGGGATTAATAAATAAACTCTGCTAAATCTGATCATAAATTCTGTCCAACAGCAATATAATGGTGGCTGCAGAACTTCATAAGACTCTTTCAGCACATTGGGGAGAATTTCAGAATCCCAGGGCACAAACTTTGCCTCATCCCAAATATCTCTCTTGAAAAACATCAGTTCATAGGGATCAGCAAACATTTCCTATAAAGGCCAGATATTATTTTATTTCGTGGGGGGCAGGGCATTTGGTCTTGGTTCCAATTGCTGTGATAGTGTTATAGGCAATACATAAAAGAATGAGCAAGACTGTGTTCCAATAAAACATTATTTACAAAAACAAGCAGCTGGCTGGATTTGGTTTATAGGCTACAATTGTCTGACCCATGACTGACTGATCATGGCATAGTGTGATGTATGAAAATGTAGACATGTGGGGAATTCACTGAGATTCACATCCAACTCCCTTTGTGTTTTTTAAATATTTAGTTTTGTTTTGCATTATTAAAGCAAGACATGATAATTGGAAAAACTTATGGAAAAATAGAAAAGCTAAAATTAAAATAATTTATAATGCCATCAGACATACCACTTCTTAATATTTTGTTTCATTTAGGATTTTGTTCTGTAGAATCAGGATAATGTTGTATAATACTGTAAGTGCAAGTTTCCCTAATTCCTTTGTTTTTCTGCTATGTCCTACCTAAATTTAGGCCAATTTTCCTAACTTCTACTTTATAAATTGCTTTTCCCAGATGCAATAAGGATCTCCTGCAATATCATTTCTTTTCTCACATCTAGAAGCACATAATACTTAAGCACATGATGCTTAAGATTTGGAGCAATATACATACAGAAGAGAGCAGAAATGATAATGCCTAGTGAACACCAACAACACGTTCTTCTAAGGTCAGTGTATAAAATAACCCCAGGGAGATGTGTGTTCTGGGGAAATAACTGATTACTAATACGGTCTCATGAAGTCTTTGCTAAAATCTATTTGGTATCAGCTTTTCAGGAAATTCTGTCTAATTCATGTATAGTCCAAACTTTGAGAAGTCCTGTGGATTGGTGGGGTTCAGGACATGCTACCCCAAAATAAGACACCTTAGAATATTAAATATTTTAAGCTGAAGAAACTGAAGAGAACAGCAGAAGCAGGATGATCGTTCTGACCTTCTCCCCTGGAGCAGGTCATGACACACTTATGTGAGTGGTGCCTGCCCCACACCCACAGGGACAGAGCCTACTTCTCTCCAAAGACAAAGAGGTGTCTGAGAAGAATGAGAATAAGCAGGCTCTATTGTTTCCCTGTTTACTACCATAGCCTCAGACTCCTTAACCTTTCTCCTTCCTCCACAATTGCCCACTTTTTATCAAAGCAGGCCTAAAAACATCCTCATCTAGCTGTTTCTTTGGGTCTTCATTTCCTGAGGAAAGAGGCCATGTTATGCAGAATTTACACTGAATACATTTGGATGCTCTCCCCCTGTCAGTCTGTATTTGCCAGTTTAATTTTCAGGGACCTCAAAAGTGGAGGGAAACTGTTTCCTCCCCTGCAGGGTCTAAGAGAGGGAATTCCTGGACTGGAGGTCCCATCATTCTTTTACTTCAGGTGAGGTCTCACTCTTTAGTTGAAATTCATGTTTCCACCTGCTCATGTTTTCTCCTCTGGCCAATCTTGGTCATCTATCTGATCATCCATATTTCTAACAGAGAATTTAAGAAGCTCTGATTCACTTCTGTTTACAGAATTAATATGTAAAACCGAACTCCTAAAAACCCAGGAGTTTGGATTTTATGTGGCTTTCATATTTCACCTGTTGCCCTAGCTCATTCTTCAAATAAAACTGAGTATTTCTGTTCTGTTGCTGAAAAGGGGGATATTTATGGAGAAAAACAATAGGGAATCAGAAGATTTTTGACCCGAATAAACTAAGCTAGACATAAAGGTAAAGGATGGAAACAAACCTAATAAGGCCCTGCTACTTTGTAGGGTGAAAGTTGTAAGTTGGACAGCGCTTCATTTTTGGGCTCCCATGAGATCATACTTGCTCAGCAAATTCATGACACAAGGCAGCTGCATACGTAGTAATGTCTACGTATGATTTCAACAGAAGTTAGAGTGATGTTTACTGTGTGATACCACTGGGGGAGAAAAATCAGTTGTGGTCATTGTTTTTGTTTTGTTTTTTTCTTTTAAAGTAAATGGACACAGTTAATATACATGAAGATGAAAGAATGACTTCAAGCATTTATTCAATCATGTTCTGTGCTACCTATGAACAACAAAGATATTTACAACACTGAGCAGAGGGAAGACCCTTCCAGCCTCATGTGCCAAGTAAGAAAACTCAGGCTTCTTACTCTCAGTGGAGTATCATGCTGATTAAGAAAATGAAATTAAAAAATTAATTTCCAATCTCTTTCCACAACGTCAATAATTTGAGTTTGCTCTAACAATGTGAGACACACCTATCATCTGTTTAAATTGTTTGAGCAAGAGAACTCAGTTTGGGAGAAGGTGGGGGAGTTGGCTGTTTCTCTATTGGCAAGGTGGTTTATTATTTTCAAAAACCATCGGTGTCCTATCCCTTCTAGGGATACAATCCAAAAGGTTCCACTGGCACAGAAACTGGGGTTTCCCAATTCGCCCACCATGAGCCACCTAGTTAAGCACACATTCCTAGAGAGCTCCAGGGAATCAGCATTTCTAAGTGACACTAATAATCCAACAAGTTTGGGCAACCCTTCTCCACAGTGGTTTTCAGCTCTGACCCTGTACTAGTCTCCCGGAGAGTACAAAAAACAGCGGTCCGTAGCCGCGACCAATGCCCAGACCCCACCCCAAAGTAAATCAGCACCTTGGACTTGGCCCCACCATTGAAGTTTTTGAAAGCCACCCGGTGATGGTAATGCGTCTCAGGCACCGTGCCCAGGACCCCTCGATGCCAATCCGCATTTGAATAACCTCTTGGGGGATCCATGTGCACACTGAAGGTTTCCACAAAGCTGTTTAAAGGGCCTATCAACAGAACATCTACCTTGCCATCCGGAGGAAGATGGAGTTTTGCTCCCTACTCCCTCTTCCCATTTACTTCTACCAACAAAAGCAGCTTAAAATCTTTCCAGAGGTCTAGTTCTTTATCCTCTTGGCCACTGAAAGCCAACCAAAGAGGGATAGTGTCAGGCAAACCTCTCTGTTCCAAAATCATTTATTAATTAAAGTATGTTAAATAGTGGATGCCACTCTTACCCAAAGGCCCCAGCAACTTTTCATTGGCAGTTTCTGTTTCATATCCCACAACCAAAAACATTAAGGATCACTAACATTCACATCCATGAATTCATTTAGACAATTTTCTTTAATTAACGATGAAGACACTACAGTTCTAAGTACCAGACAGAATCAGGGAGGAAAAAAAAAAACAAAACAAAAAACCAAAACTGAAAATAAGCATAACACTATAAAGAAAACTCAGAAAAGTGAAACACTTCTAAATAAAATTATATACCTGGCCTGGTACCCATGACATATATACATAATACATGTTATACACGTATATACAATAAATGTTTTGGTAGCAACACAGACCATGCATTGGTCCTTTTGTACACAGATGAAGTAGCACCATCAGCAGCACCACCATCTGAAGATGATAAACCAAACTGCACATACAGTAAATGAAAAAATATATATGTATTTAATTTGGCCCACCCTGCAGCCAAGAGGTGTAAGGAAAGAACTCGGTAAGAAAAATTGTTCTGGGAACTACATTCTGAAGCCAACGGCAAAGTTCTAAGATCAACAAACAAAACAAACAAAAACAAAAATTAAAAACAGCACTAAAAATGCTTATACAAATACAGACAAGTGTTTTTTTTTTTTTCCTGTTTGCTGAATTTGTCCTATCACGTGGCATGTTGGTTAACACTGGGGAAGTTAACAGAAGCCAAGGGAGATTTAAATGTCGGGTGAGTGGCAAGGACCTAGAACACCAGAGCTCTTGGTGTACGTATCACAAATGCCAAGTCATCAACAAATGATGAAAGGAAGACAACTCTCCAGCTAAGCCATGTTTTCTAATCTTATTAGCTAATTATAAGCTAAATTCCTTAAGAATAGGGTCAAACCCCTTCACTATCTTTCTGCCTCCTCTCAGCATCCAACTGGATGTTCTGGTTACAAGCTGTGGGAAACCCAACATAGCATCCGACCCACATATTCTCTACCCGTGCCTAGGAGACAATTGGACAGAGCTATGGTGGGACCTCCAAGATCTTATCTGGCTTGACTTTGGAGATGATCAAAGGTACCAGTGTCTAACCCTTGAAGTTCTACTGACAAGAAGGGTATTTTGCTCTCCAGAGGTAAGCTCAAGACAGAAGGTCTTTCTCTTAGTATTGGCAAGGCCGTATTTCCTCACATCCCAAGAAGTGCATGCTTCTTCCCCTAAAGTTTTTTAGCAGTCTTTATGAATGCAGCATTACCTCCAACTAGCACACACGATGTCCTAAGAACACCAACTCCCCTGTCAAGTCACTGCAAAGCGATTTCATGTTTGGCTTCCATCCATCCTCCTTTGTGTGCCTTCCAAAGGGTCCTCCTGTCTCTCTCCAGTCAAGGTCTTACTTCCCACAGGGTCTCTGGTTTCAGGGCCTCTCTGCATGATGGACTGACCCACCGAGCTCCAGCCAAAGCACTCAGAGCACTTCACATCTCTCCCATTTCCCATAGCTCTGCTGTCACTGGACGATTAGCTCCCCTCCCATTTTTAAACCACCTGCAATAAATAAAAGTTTTTAACTACCTAGCATATTGCATTCAGGATGCAAGATTAATCAAAACAGGGCTTCAGTATTGTATTATACTGTTCATTACAGTATAGTAAAATTGTTTCTTAATCCTTTAAATGTCTCAGATTTAAAAGATAGGAGACAACAGGGGTAAATAAAGGGTAAAAAACCTCTACTTTTGGCTCAATGATTTTTAGTAAACCCATTTTTGCCGTCAACCTAGATTAATGGAGTCCCTGACCTTTGAAAGTCAGCAAGAAATAGCCACAAACGTAACATCAGTACTGAATTGTCATTATTGACTCAGGGGGTTGATCATTAATGGATTCTCTTCACTTCTAGCTGGTTCTAGGACTTTTTTTTTTTTTTTTCCCTGCCCAGAATGAAGATATCATCAAAGTCATAAACTATATTTGTTCTTTCCACAAAGGAGAATTTTAAAACTCTGCCTAGGTCTCTAAGAAAGAACACTATAAAAGATTGGTCTCATGAGGAAAAAGCCACTAACTTATAGGTTAACCAGAGGCCACGAGAAGCCCCATTAATGTAATTCCTTGGCTGGCCTACAAACACTTGGAAATGGATAAAAGCCAGCTTTCAATAGTAACTGAACACATGGATTTTAGCAGCTGATGTCGCTCAAGGTCAAGCCCTCTATAAGCAGAGCATGAGTTTTTGCCTTAAATACCGGCCACTTCCAGTTTTAAATTGGTGCAGTCTGACACCACCACCAAACCCAGCTCAGGGACTACTAGAAGCAGCTTATTAAAATAGGATTTCTACCTTTATGCTATTGGACTCAACAAAACATCAGAGAAATTAACCAAGAGAGGGCTTTTCCAGTCTGTTGATTTCTGTTCTCACCCAAAACATGTTGGTACTCCACAAAGCAGAGGTATCTCGGTAATACATATTCAAAGTATAGTTTCCTTGAGAAATAATAACCAGCTTCACAGGAAAACGGTCGGGGCTAACCTTGTTCACTGATGTCTCTTTAACTACTTATGTCCTCAACGGAAGAAAGCAGGACAGCTTGCTATCTTCCTACACTAGGCAGGAGTAGGAGTCAGAATACTTGAAAAAATTTAAGTTGGTTTGACCAAGAAAGTCTTTTTTATAAAAGTGTAAAAAAAAAAAAAAAAGAAAGAAATTCATAGCAGATTTTTAAAATTGGTAGTGTTCTCTCCTCATAGGAAATGATGTAATTCAGCAAGTGCAAGTTCCTTGAAAACAATGGATTCTTAGGACTACAGACCTATTCATCTTAGAAATTGATGAGCATGCAAATGGTCAGAATCTGCAACAATGAACTTCGTACAACAGTCTGTGAGGTACATGCCATCCGGTTGAATTAACAGTAACACAGGCCTCAGCAGCGTGAGGGATTCCATTTATCTCCACTCCCTGTTGAGTAGAGTAGGGATTCCCCCCCACCCCCCGCCACCAACTGGCTGGACGAGGGGCAGCAACCACCGCAGTGGTCCCCAACCCTGGCCCCTTCCTTGTAGACCCTCCCCAACCCAGGGAGCTCAACCCATCAGAGAAATGAAATGTTGCTCCCCTCCACAGCAGGGCTGGAAATTCTGATGCAGAGTTTACACAGACTCTGAGGGAGCCCGACCTTGGCATTAATTCACTTAACCTTTAGGAAGTTTCCTGGCAAAAAAGATGAAAAACACCGTAGGCAGTATCTTGAAGTACATCCACGGCCTTCTCTTTTTCACAAGGAAAAATTCCAAACAAGAAGAGGATTAACATCTTCCCTGCTGGCTAGATGTTTCAGGAGCCAGTCATTATGCTTTGACATGCTCTCTGTGCACTGGGTTTTATTAACTAATCGTTAATAGGCCAGGACCCACCAGGGCAAATGGAACCAGTTATATTCAGTTCAATCATGTAACTAACACGGGATGGTCTCAGGAAACAAGAGATAAGGGTCTTGTGGGAAGTGACAGGTAGTCATGATAAAAACCATTTTTCTGGAATTTTAACTCCTGGTTGGAAATCAAAGACAAGCACTCACTTGTCTTAACCACCTTTCTCGAGACAATGCCAGAAAAAAAAATATCCTAAAGTGTGCATGGGGGAAAAAAAAAAAAGGTAGCAGGAAGCTTACAGAAGTGGGGGGAAGGGGAGAAGAAAAGATCAACAGTCTCTAGTTTATTATGAATAGAAAGAAATTTCCAGAATTTACAAACACCCACATTGTTCATTCCAAAGAGAGCTCTTGATTTAAAGGGATCACCCAAGTCTCCTCTTCCTTACAGTATATACAATGGAAGACTTTGATTTCCTTTGCTTGTAATTTTGCTTCCATTCAATGGCCAATTTTAAGCTGACACCTGAAAACACCCAGAATATATCCTTCTTCAGTTTAATTAACAGGGCCTACTGCCTTACAGGAAAAAATACAAAATGAAGATCAATTCTTGTAAGGATCTCAGCTCAACATCAGGGCTATATTACAAGAGATAGTATCCACAAATAGAACTATACAACTGAGAACCATCTAATGGCACTATGATTCTTATTATATTATTCTTCTGAATTACAGTCTTAAAACAAGGATCGTATCCTAGTCTACTCTCATTAGCCTTGTTTTAAGTATTTGCTCCACTCTTTACAACAGAACATAGTATACCTCAG